ATACTAAAGTGTTATAATATTATTGGCCTGAAAGATTATGAGTCACAATTGACTAGATATATGAATGAATAACTCAACAAATAAAAAGAGGTCAACCTAAAGTTCAAAGACGACATGCGTTAAACAGGTGATCGAAAGACAGAGTACATTCGGAAATGTGAACATGTGAATATAATATGATGGAGACGATATAGGATGAATAAAATGTTGTCAAAGGAGTAGACTAGATAAAATGTTAGAATATGATAACATAAATTGAAATGTTTATACGAGTTTGACCATGGACTGATAGGAGTTAGAGATCCTCTGAAAACTAGGCAGTACTGGATAGCTGTTTAATCCTAGTTTGAGAATCATCGGCAGTACGCACCCACCACAGGGGGTAAGAACTCTGGAACTTCCGGTTTCAAGGCAAGCTCGTATACCATTCAGTCACTGGGAACCGATTCAATGGCCAATCTATGAATCCTAACTTCTACCAATTCATGATTTAGCGCGACTCCAAACCAGTGTCATAGGTGGGAACTCCATCCTCAAACTTGACTGGATGGACTTCACTGGTCACGACTTCTCACTAGAACTCCAGGGAACTGCGTCCTCTAGTAAGTCACTAGCGAGCATCACATTAATTTTCAAGAGTTTGGTTTGTAAGGATTAGATTTGTTTATACGTGTTTGACCGCGGAATGATACGAAATTAAACAAAAATGCCACTGAGAATAAAGAAAGAATAAGAAAGTTTCTGTTTGAATTACATAGTACAATCAAGAACATGGTAGCTAAAGAGATCATTGAAATTGCTTTTGTACACAAAGTTCTGGCTTTATGTTATGCATTGCTAAAGTCCTTGCTATACAAAACAAATGCACTCGTGCGTCTTTCAGCAAACTTTGTCGGACTTTGTAAACTATATTAAACGATGCCTCAGATGCTACGTTGTTGGCAACTGCAATATGTTGCAATACCAACGAATTAATACCTCTGCTTACGATCTCTTTCCTTACCATGGTCTTGATTATGTTATGTAATTCACATTTAAACTTTGTTGTCCTTCTTTATTCAATGTTCCATTTTTGTTATATTTTATTTTTTGTGATCATATTCTGACATTTTATCTAGTCTACTACTCTGACAAAATTTCATTCATCCTATGTCGTCTCCATCATATTATATTCACATGTTCACATTTCCGAATGTACTCTGTCTTCCGATCATGTATTTCACACATTTCGTTCATTGAACTTTCGGTTGACCTCTATTTATTTAGTCATTCATTCATATATCTAGTCTATTGTGAATCATAATCTTATACACCAATATTATGTACAACTTGGGCACTGTGATACTGTGTAACTCCATGTTAATTTGTTTATTAGATGTATCACACAGTGAAACAGCATTGATAACTGGATGACTTTTCGATCACAATTTATTGCTCATAATCATATCAGCTATCATAATATTTACAGTTATCCAGTGTCACTGGGAGAGATAACTATTTTAGGTTTGGGTTGAAGTCCAAGAGAGGTAGGGATATTGAAGAAACACTTTCTGAACACAGAGATTTGGTTAAAAATATTCAAAGCAGCAGTCTGAGGTAGGTTGATCAACCGAAGACGTACCGAACTAGATAGTGGTGTTGAGGTGGCACCTTGTATAGAAGTATAAAAGCTTAATTTTTGTCACACTTGTACAAATAGACTGCAGAAGGTGATGGTGGTCTTTCCGAGTTCTTCTCCCTATGTCGCTGTCTCCATTTGAACAGTTACATTTATAAATGCTCACTGAAGCGACCAGACTCAGTGGCTTATCTCTTCAGCTGCGTTCGCATTATACAACGATTGGCGGATTTTAAACACCGCATTGCGGCAAAGAATATTTTAGCTAATATTTTTTCGAAATTTCGACGTCAGCAATTCAGTTGCTGGGTCTCCTTTAAGCAGTCAAGTCTTATATATACTCGTTTCTTCTTTAACGTTTTTTTCAGGTTGTCCTTATTTTATCATCAAAAGTGTCGGTTGTACAGATTTTTCTAGCACTAAACATCAGAGTGCAATAGGAAGAAACAACCTGAAGTTGTGTTTTGGTCAACCCATGACTTTTCCCAGAAAATACCACCTTAATACCGCCATCTTGCCTTGTTGTTGAAGGGACATTCAAAAGTGATAGAAGTTGTCTGTCTCCTCTTCCTATGTGGACTTAGTTTGACGTTGAGCCATACTAAACTAATGTAGCAGGACTGTTATAACTATACTGAACTGATTGAGAACCATAGTCACTTTGTTCTGTCTTTGCATGCCTAATGTACCTACCTGCATGTGGTACCTTCCGATTCATTGAGCCACGCAATGATCAAAAGACAAAGGCTAGCCTGTGACTGTATATTTTAATCAACAACGACCATCAGGAAATCAACAGATGGTATTTACACATTTTCTTCACAACAATAAAGTCGGCCTCATAGCTGTGAGAAATGATTGATTGCATAACTAATCACAACATGGATGAGAAATGATGATATACTACTTTATGAGGAATCCTATCAAGGACGTCAGCATCGATTTTATCATTATGCAAGATGAATGTGTCGTCTATATATTTACAGTAGAATGAGAGTTCATTGACTACATTTCTGAGTTGACGATTCCTAATTTTGCTATCACCATATCGGCTAAGAGAGGACTTAGAGGGCAGTCCATTGTTACGCCCTCCACTCGACAGTAAAATTCGTTGTTAAAATATAACTGTACGCTCATCGTAAAACGTAGTAGCAGTTTCTGTAGCGTTTGAGGTGGTATACCTACGTTGATATCATTTTCTATAAAGACTCGCAGACGAAATCGATGGTTTTCAATAAAGGAACGTTAGTGAACAGATAGGTGACGACCATAGAGACCATCGTTTCATGACTGATCTTCTTATCCCTTACTTTTTCTATAAATTCAACCATACCCATCAAACTACACTTAGCCACTTTTAGCTGCTGTAGTTCGAATATATCTGCTGACCATCTTGCTCTTTCATGATACGGTGAATTAAACATACATAATATTGGTGTCATTGGTAAGATGGGCTTATGATTTTCAGTATATATAAGTATGTTTATTCCTATAGGATTTAGACGTTCGAGAATTGAGAGAGACATTATATGACTGGATACCGGATGTTTCAGTATCTTGGAAATTCTTTTTCCACTTTATTTGTCTTATCTTTGCTGTTAGGTGGTTTATTGAAATTCTGTGGTGTTCTTTAGAATACTATTTATTTTATCCGATTTCCCTAATCCAGTTTTGTTATAATTACGCTGTCATGTGGTCGGATTCTTTTAAGCTGCATAATGAGTCTTGCTGAGGATACGTTTCTCAGTACATCTTGATTTATATCAATGACAACTTTCAACAAGAGAGGCTTTCAGTTCTTCTAACTGGAAGTGAGATAATAGAGGTAACTAAGTCATTTGTTTGACTGAAAAGATTTTCAAACTGTGATTCAGTTTCCTAATCTTATCGATCGGTTTACAACATCACAAATCTCCCTATCTAATGACAACACCTTCAGTTCTAGTTTACTGAAAGAAACACTGGAAGAATTATGAACTTACCTATCCGGATGTGCTGCAATATACTTCGTTGTGATTGTTTTATCAACGTTTATATTAAACGGGCATTGCGTTCACCCATGTCTTTTTCAAATAAAATGTTTGACGTAGTTCACAAGCATAGTTTGTATATCGTTGGTTATTTGTCAACTGTAGTTTGACGCTAGGATAAATATCTATCCAACTCAAAACATTTGCTCTCTGTCGAGTCAATCTAATTTAAGGCAAAGCCTTTCAGAGTCCTTGCTTCCACCTTATTTGTGATCCTCTCAGAGATTTCCAACAAGATTTTAGATGTGCTTTTATCAGGGTGACTTTTAGGTAATTTATTTCCTCTGAATAAATGATCTTATTTTTCCCAAATCGTTCCCCCACCTAAGCATTAGGCTAAGCTGATTCAGATTACTCGACTAGATTTAATTAACAGGTGGAAATCTTCAGATTGTCATAGTTTTATAATTCCTAAGAAGTAGCAGTAATCTTTCACATTTGTTACTTGTGAATACAGTTTTGAATTGAAATTCGCAGAACGGATGAATAAAATCTACAGTTTACTTTTTACACTGAGAAATAACTAGCTTTCTGCTGTCCACCTGTGAATGCCAACCCGGTTCAGTTGGCTAAGTTTTGGTAACTATTTTATAAGGCTATTTATCATTGTTTACTATTCTAGAGTGTGTGTCTGAGAATTCTACAGAAATGATTTACGTCAGAAAACTCGAGACTATTCCTGCTGTAACTCAAGAAATGAGCCAAGATATTGTCTGGTAAGTGTAATATCGAGTGCGACATCAAATCTTGAAACTGGAAGTTAAATTACGTCCTACTGACCAGTCGATGTGGTAATACCCTTCGTATAAGAGATCATTAGCTTGCGACACAGCTCCACCTGCTTGAAACTTGGTTCCCCAAAAACCTCCATCATTATATCGCAAATAATTTCCATCGTTCGCCTTGTTTTATTCGATAAAAAATGTCACCTCTTATGGTGTTTATAACCTGCTGATTTGAAAGGCTTTGTCAAACATGAGAAAAACCATAGTCGTAGGTGGCAACATATCCCAAATTCATGAGATCATTGTTCCTGAAATTTTAGGTACAAACTGTCACTGCCTTTAAGACTATCTACTTTCAGTCTTCAGTTATTCAGCTATTGTAATGTTTTAGATCTCAAAATTCATCGCTGAACTTTTGTAATTGGCTTTCAACAAAATGTCATGGATTTCTCGAAGGAATCAAAGAAAAAATATCATAGAGGATGGGTTTTCATTTGAGGTCATACAGCACTGTGCCGCATGATCTACTGTCAGTTGCTATTTTACCTAAAGATCTCGGAAGAAGAGCAAATATTATGCAATAAATTTCGCAGAAAATTCTATACATTATATATGAAGAAGTTCGGACCAGATTGCAGAACGAAACGTTGGAATTACTCATTTCAATATCGCTGAGATTTTACAAATATAATTTTTTTACAAATGTCTACTTCTCACTCGGCGCCCAAATATTATAGAACTATTCTGTCAAATCTTGACTACAGTTCATTTGTTTTATTTTGCAATCGAATTAAATTAACAAAGAAACTATGTAATTGGCACAATCATCGTGTTTCCACTCTCCGTTGTCTGCAACAGAATGCGTATCTTAAATTCGTAGCTGCCCAGTCACCTGACAACTTCAGTAGGTCGAATAAAGCAGCTGAATTTTCAGAAAGAAGACAAAGTAATAAGTTTGACAGGGTTGTTCAACTAAACTCTAATCCTAAACACCATAATTTTGAAAATACGTCTAATCATAAAATTCCAGATACTAACAGTTTGAACAGACATGAAGGTGTGATGTTAGATGACGCATAGGAAATACTGAGTAATAAATAAGAATGGATATGTATCACTAACTAATAATACTTGGTCAAAGTTTCCCGACTGTCTATATCTACTTATGGAGACGTTAAGACAATGTTTTACAACTGTTTATCCGCACACACACACATACACATTGTGTTTAAAGTGTTTAACAAAGGTAGATCAATATTTGTAAGTCTGAGGTCAAATTTTGATCCCAACTCGTACAATTTTGTTTATTATACTTGTTAATATTTGTTTTATGAATCATGATTGGACAAAGTTTTTAAAAACTAAAGTTGTTCCTTTTATATATAAACCTGTTATGTTAATTTCGATTAATTTCCCTGAAGAAGCTCGAACCAGATTTCCGAACGAAACGTTGGAATTACTCATTTCAATATCGCTGAGATTTTACAAATATAATTTTTTTACAAATGTCTACTTCTCACTCGGCGCCCAAATATTATAGAACTATTCTGTCAAATCTTGACTACAGTTCATTTGATTTATATGAACTTTGTCCAGGATAAAACTGTTATTACTATTATTAGTAGAAACGTTTCTTACTGTCTGAGTGAGTTCAAGTATCCGAGGAGATATCGGTTCAGTCAAGGTTGCAGGTACCTGTAGGTGACGAGTTCCAGCGAGAATGAAACCAGTGTCCATGGCATTCTGCTGATGGCTTCCAACCACCTCACTCCAATTCAAAGTATACCCCTCTGTCGAGTCACTTAACATGATGTCCAGGTTACATATATTTTTATTAAAGCTTGACTGCACACCGTATTTTTGGTAAAAGTATGGAATTTTCAGCATGTGATATCGTTAGCCAAATTTTGCAGGCCGGCTATTGATATCGGGTGTGCGTCGGCAGGAAATCGAACCCCGGACTATGTGCATGGTCGGTGAGCGTCCCAATCGCTACACCACCGACGCATACCACTTAGTCCTCTGTATGAAGGGATTTTACTAAGGTGATTGGGGTTAGAATGTTACTGTGAGAGTCTTTTGTTTCCTCATAATCGAAAACTTTTTGAAAGTATAAAAACAGCAACCTATATACCTTGTTGTACACTATACTAAGCCCTTTGTCACACTTTAATAGGATAAAGATAACTTGAATCATCGAGTTCATGAGTGCTAACATGTTCCTCATGAGAAGTCAAAATCTGCTATGTTAAGATGTACATTGTCCACTGGTGCATGTAAGAATCAGCTGTTGAAAATAACCAAGTAATAAATGTCGCTCCAAAGTGAACAGCTTATATTTCTACACTGCTGAAAAGTTTAAACGGAAATCAAATCTACAGTGGACTGAATCAAGATCCCTGAGAAACTAAATACCAATCTACAGCTCACCAATTGCCATGCCACCGATCCCCTGTAGTTCTAATGAACGGAGCTTTACAATATTCTTCATGATGCCAGAGTGAAATGAATGCGCATAAATGCTACTGGTTGTTGGTAGGTATATATCGTAAACTGTTAGAAGTTAAAATTCATGAGTTAATTGAATTTCAGCACAGTGTCTGGATACTCAAAGTTCGTGTTGCATAATCTGAAGGTTATATATTCAGTCCTATGCTAGAGGAAAACGACTGTTCAGCACTCCTAGAATTATCATTTTACTATAACTGAATTCGGTTCATGACTAAGTCTCCACAGAGATTATTTGAAATCCTTAAAAAACCCAAAACACACTATGAGGTTTATTGAACAAAAATCAAAATCACATTATACCTGTACAAAGGTGAATTAATCTTAAAAAATGAACAATGAAATGTGTTACAGTCAGGTTTGTGATCGAAACGTCATATTTAGTATATATGTGATACAATGTAACAATTACGTTCAACCATATCGGGTTATAAATATTCTTAATGCAACAGTTGTTGTTTCACGTAGATTCTATTGTACGTACATAGAGTGCACAGACACACAAACACACAAACTAGAGTCAAATTCCATAAGTTTTTCATAAGTGTTTGATATTTCGACAAAGAAATACTAACCTAACTGACAGTTGGCTCCCGTAGTTCAGCTGGTAAAACGTCTAACTGGCATCTTGGACACTTCTGCGTTGAATTTCGCTGTGGTCCTGAATTTCCAAAAAACTGGATGTAGGGATTTAACTCGTCTGTTACCGAACCATTGAGAACTATTGCTAAGGAAGGGGTGCTCTTCAACATTATGCCCCTACTGATGGGGTTCGAGCCCGACATAAAAAATTAGATCCCTACAAACCAATTCTTCACAAATAATCTGATGCTCACTAGTGACTAACGTCTACAGGACAAAGTTACCTGGAATCTTAGCAAGATATCACAACCGCTAAGGTCCACTGAGTAGAAGGTGAGGACAATACTCGCCGCTGGTGAAAGTCACGCTAAATATGTCATGAATTGGTAGGCCTTAGAATTCTTGGATCGGCCATTGAATCGAATCTCAGTGATTGAATGGTCTACAAGCAATCTTTGTTGCCAAAATGTTCTGGTTTTCAGCCAATCCCATTCAAAGTGGGAAGAAACATCTATCTAGTTTACTCTTGTAAACAATGGCTCTCTGGCTGACATCAACATGTGGTCAAATAGTGGAGCTCATTTTTCCATCATCATTATCAATCCCCACTTATTATATCAATAAAATCATTATTTTATTTGAAATACTATTACCTAAAGCATTTTAGGAGGTCGTCATTTTAACTAGAAAATGTTCACATATAAAACGTCATATGGATTAATTAAATTCATTAAAATTCAAAATCACATTGCCTGCCAGTAGACCATTCAGTGTTGTGTGTCCTAAAATTCTGGTGACTCATAAGCTATGAGCTATCATTCACTAACAGCATTTTAAATGGGTATATACACTGTAAGCCTCTTAGAATTTTGATGTGTTCCCATGTCTACTAGGGTGTAAGTAATGTTTCACGTGTTCATTATTTGGTGCTGGTACTGAATGAATCCTATCCTGGTGACCAGACTGAAAACTTGGCTGATAGAATACAAAAAGATATAGTTCATGGCTTATCATCAAAATGTACAGTTATGTAGTAAGTTATAAGAACACGGAATTGCCAAGTATAAGAATTAAACTCATCGACCACTTACTTTTACTCAAGAAGCTGAGTCAGAAAGAAATCCTCTCCCTTTTTCAGATGTCTACGTTTCGAGGAAAATGATGCTCCAGTTCAGAGATCAATTCACCACAAACCAAAAAAGTGAATGTGCGATTGATTAACTTTTGCAGTTTTACCTCATTAAGTGAAAAAATAAGCTTTATCCAATCCCATCTCTTAAGATTCAGTTGCATTTGTGCGAAACACAAGCAGTAAAACGAGAACTAGATTTCTTCGGTAACACTCCAATTCAGAATGATTGCCCACCAGGATTTATCAGTAAATAGATGAAACGTAAGATGGGTAATCCTCAGAAAGACTGAAGTACCGTAGAAAAATTCATTGGTAAACCTGAAATTCAAAGGTGATACCATACTTAAAATTCCTCGAGTCAGATTATCAATAGTGATTCGAAAAACACTCTTCTCCGCATTCTTACCTCTCACCTTCTCCATGCAACTATGTATTCATCAAAGCATCAAAGATACTGTTTATGTGTATATATCACTTCACTTACTTAATATATACCCTTTACTAGTAGGATATTGTCTAGAGGTACACAAAGACATCTGTCAACACGACAGCCAAGGGAAGAAATTAGACGAACTAAAAGTTATGTAGTTAAGCATTCTGTTCTTACAAGTCTATCCACATTAATAAAAGCATCTCTCAAACTGATATTCAAATGGTTTCAGTTTACCTCTTCTGTCTACAGACGTTTTTTTAACATACAAAAGAGACCGTGGAACGTGTATACAAAGGCAATTTATTTAATCCCTTCTACCAACATGACCTGACCTTTTATTTCAGAATACAACTGTATAGATTTGAAGCGAAGTTTAAGAAGGAATTATCTCTCCTGAGCTATGTCTTTTTGAATAAAGCAAGAACAACAGTGTGGTTTGTACAGAATAATATGGTACCATCATCGCTTATTTCGTTGGCTTCTCATCAACTGCTACTCACAGCCTAAATAAACTATGAGGTTTATGTACAGAGAAGTTTTAACATACCTGCAAATTTTATATCTTGTTAGTTTACAGAAAGTTCCACAATCAGTGAACAGTGCTGAGAAAATTGCGCTATATATAGTTCTTACACAGGCAGTCCAAGTTTAAACAAAATCAATATATGCATGCAATCGTAACGGAGTTACGTAATAAAGACGAAATATGCGTTGGATACAGAGTGACTAATAAATTAGGTAACAGTGTACTGAGCTCAACTAAAATCATGGAAACCAGAGACAAAGAAAATTAAAAATTATAAAAGGGGGTGAGGTTAAAGCCGAAGACTACGTAATCAAATGAGAGAATAAAGACATCCAGTTACCAGGTTGGCAAAGAAAGACTAATAACTGCTTCTTTCTGAACACATAAATCTGGTTTCATGCGTTTGATAGAAATTCCTTCGTCAAACTTGAGGAGAATGGAGCTCCTTTGTGTTATAACTGCACTGAATTAAGGTAAACCCCGTCGCCAATTTGTTATAACTGTAGGTAATTCAATGAAGACGTTTTCACCTTGTTCTGTCTGCGCCTGAACTAATCTGCCTATCTGCTTGTCGTACCTTCCGATTTAGTAAAGCACGCAAATATCAAAAGACAAAGGCTGGACTGTGACTGTGTATTGAAGTGCAACAACGACAAAGAAAGCCATGGTATTTATACATTTTACAACAATATGGACAGCTAACAGCATTTGAAATAATTGATCTTAATAGCCAATAACAAAGTGCGTGAGAGATGATAATATACCATATGTGCGAGATTGACAGTCAATAACAAAATGTGTGAGAATGATAATATACCATATATGCAAGATTAACAGTCAATACCAAAATGTGTGAGAATGATAATATACCATATATACAAGATTAACAGTCAATACCAAAATATGTGGGATCCTATCACCTCTCCCCGTAAAGAGTGTAGGACTTGCTTTTTGGATCTATTTGA